GGTATGGTGAGTGAGTTTGTATTATTTAGTGGGTGAAATCTAATTTAGATAATTAGTAAATTACTATGTGTTTGTGTAGTGGACTGTAGTGCTGTCAGATATATTGCAATGTAGTAGTATTATAATATGATGCATTTTTATGAACTTTGTGTATTTTAATTGGTACATGTCAGGGCTTCATTTGGGGTGGCGGAGGGGGGCGCTCGCCCCCCTTGGGAAACACTTGCCCCCCCTTGATTGACTTATTAACATGAAAAATTTCATCACCACAGCAGTAAATTGTATAAGTGTTTCTATTGTGCATACACAATAGAAATATTAGTGACCCCTCTTTTTAAAATATTTTTAACCCTGCCCCCTTGTATAAAATCCAGATGAAGGCCTGCATGTAATCGTTCATGTACATGTATTGGTTTTGTCTTTATATTCTCCCTCCCCCTCTCTCCCTCAGGAGGAGAGCAGGGTTCAAGCAAGAGAGGAGGAAGAGAAGAGACGTGAGATTGCAGAGAAATTCCAAACAACAATTGACGACATTACGGAAAGAATGCAAGAGCACCATGACAGGAACGTGTCACTGAAACAAGAAAATGCTGAGTAGGTCATGTGATTGTCATGTGATTCATTGACCACACCCACTACCCACTAGTTTAGTAGGCAAGTTAAAGAAACTGATTGAACAATATGAAGCGAGAGAAAAAGTAAATTTATGCATTCACATACAAGGATATAATTGTGGCGTCATTTCAATGTACTTTTTAAACTTTCTCTCCTCTCTCTCTCCCTCTCCCTCCCTCCCTCCCTCCCTCCCTCCTTTCTCTCTCTCTCTCTCCCTCCTCTCTCTCTCTCTCCCTCCCTCAGCAATTTGAAGAGTTATTGAAGCACAAGCAGTTGGAGCTTCAGTTAGGAGAAGCTAAACTAGCCCAGCAGATGGTGGCAATGGCTGAGACTAAAGAGAGCAACCTTGTGGAGAGACAATATGTGAGAATGAGGCATACTTTAATTAATGATAATGATACTGATACTGATAATGATACTGATACTGATACTGATAATGATACTGATAATGATACTGATACTGATACTGATAGTGTACCTTATAAACTCACTCTGAGCTTATTAAAAGCCAATTCTTATCAAAATTGGATTTTTTAAATTGTTCAAAAATCGGGCTAAAGTCCCTGTACTATAGTACAGGGATTTTGGCTCAATTTTGCCAAAAATGAAAAGGTGAGAATTTTCAACTTTTTAAATTTTTCCTGATGCGTATACATGTACTTATGTTGCATAAAAAGTTTGAACTGATTCCGATTAAGTTTGGATTTTTA